CTGAGTGGATTTGCAGCAAACATCAGTAGTCCTTGTTCCACAACCTCAGACCGGATAACATTTCATGTAGGTTCACTAGGAGACCTGAAAGACGAGCTTCTTTGAAAATGCCCCTAGTTGCTGCAGGGGAACTGTCTGATGACACTCTGCTGACAATTGAAATAACCGTTGCTAATGACGTCAACATTGGTGAAGCGATCGAGAGTGACATCATTAATGGCGTTCCAGTTGAAACCAATCTCATTGGAATTGAAACGTACGACAGTTCTTAAAAATGAAACCTTCTTGAGGAGAAAAAAGCAAGTCTTGATAAATAAATTATTTATGAACAGTGGTGTCAATAGTGGTGGCAGATTTTTTACATGTAAATGGGAATTTCGAACAAGGTGAGGGTAACCTTGATTGCATGGGACATCGAAACACAATGGTTATTTGCTGAATAAAGAAAATAGCAGTGAAATCTCTTAAGTGACTCGTCCTATGGATCTTTGTTTTTTTACGCAGGTCAAAGACACGTTCAACTCAAAACAGTTCATTACAGCCATTATCTTATGACTGTGGTGTTTCAAATCTCGTCATTATCTTTAGTGAGTCTTGGGAAACCCGATACTTCATCTCAACCAATCAGATTCAACCTTCCTCCAATCGGACTGGATCACTCACGTTTTCCCGCGCTTTTGGTAGTGTTTTTATATCCTCTACGAGCTCTCATTGGGGTCCCTGTGGTATTCCATTCTGGCTCGAGTGGCTGTTGTGTTTTGTTTTGTTCTTTTTTTTAAGGCTTTCGATCTTTTTTTTTTTTTTTTTTTTTGACGCTCAGTGACAAGGTTTCCATCCTCTGCTTAGAGGATTATCAATCTTTTTTAATGGAAAAAAACTAAATTTACGCGGACAGCCTCTCGTGGTATTTGTTGGAAAATGCACAGGTAGCATAAGTTCGCAGAATGAGCCTCCGTGAATATGCAAATACGTTTACGTTGTGTGATGGGCGAAATGTAAGAATTTGTATGGAAATAAACGATGCCGGCACTTCCAACCTAAAAATCTGAACTAGTTTTGAATAAAAAACAAACTTATGTAGCTTAAGTGATTGTTCCTTTTACATCATGTCAGTTTTCTGAGCTAATTTAGGGCCGTTTAGATCAGCTTTTGTTCATCTACTTTTCCCTCTATGTAATCCTTTCCTGAGGTTAGACACTGTACAACGCCTGCCAAACGAATGCACTGGAAACACAACACTGTAAATTCACTTCGTTGAAGTAAATGAAATTGACTTCTTCCTCTGGAGTGCTTGAAAGCCTTTTATTCAACAGCTCGAAGACAAAAAAGAAGCCAAATTTTCGGAGCAGATGTTTCATATCAGTTGAGTAATAGCGGGCATTTGTGTGCATTTCCTTTTAATTACACACTCGTGACAAGGATCGAAGCGTGTTGAATTTGACTATAGCTTCAAGCCTACCCATTGGTAAATACAATTATAAGACTTGCCAGCTGTTTGTAATGTGTGGTCGGGAATTGTTCACATCTTAAATTTATCATCCAGAGAGTTTCCAGCCATTCGTCATAGGCAAGGTAAGGACTGTAAGGCGTCACGATATCATTTGAAAGGAAAACTCTTACTCGTCCAACGTTATCAACACTCAAAATCAAGGTAATTTGGTATTATCAGCTGAGTTGATTACGTAAATTGGCCACCGTAAAGAGTTTCAAAGCTTACTTTACGAGCGCTAACCCTTCGTAGAGTGAACGACTAAGAGCTAACGCTAGAAACGTCGGCTTTGAAACTCTTTACAGTGGTCAACTCATTTGATAAAACCAAATTACCTTGTTATACTCTCCCACCGACGCAGCACCACAGTTTCTTTAGAAACTTTCCCCCTTTACTCAAACCAAGCTATTGCCCATAGAAGTCTAAGAGGCCGATTAAAAAACCGTGAAATTTACAGTTACTTGGCTGGTACCAAAAGAAATCACCTCCCATTTTCCCTTTTTCCCATCTTTTTCTTTATTTAGTTCTTTTACGCTGCAAAATGTCATTTGCTTTGCTGGCGAGGGAAGGGAATTTTTCTGAAACCTCTGTTTCCGTTGTGAGAGTAATCACCTCGCTGGATAAAAATTGAGACCACCTGACAGGCGAATTGAGAATTTTTCAAACTGTTAAATGCAAATTTCTCAGATAAAAATTTCCCGTCATTCTGCATGTTGATTCAGTTTTGTCTTCTCGTCATGTATGTTGTCATTTTGTAATAATGGATGGAACACCTAAGCCCTAATGTAAAGCAAGTGGCCTTCATGCCAAACAAATTCTCACCTACCGCTGGGAAGCGGCAAATGAAGTGCAGTTGTATATCGTATCAGTGTGATATGAGTTGCCTGTTAAGTTGATTTGATTTTGTAGAAGTTCTGTCTCAGTCCAGTATGCATAAATACGGAGAACGTTCAAATTTTTCAGAGCGACATAAAGATTAGAGAGCATGATTTTATTCATTTACAGCTGAGTCTGTTAAGAAAAGCTGTCATCCTAAGATCCCAGAACAACCTGGAAAGCTGGAAACAGCTGCTGTGAATTCGATTGTTTTAGTAAATAACAATGCTTGTCAGGTTTTTCCATGTAAACAGAAATAGTTCGTTATCCAGTTCTGGTGAAGCGGGCAACTGTGAAAATTAAGATTACATTGTTCTTCCATAAGGCAAATCCTCGAAGGTAAATGCGTCCTAAATGTTTCTTTTCTTTTCCGTTTTCGACCGAATAATTAGAGAACTATTTGAAGCTAGATGATTAATGATTGGTAACTAGTCAATCTATGAAGTAAGTTTGAATAACAAATCATCTGGACTAATAGCAGAATTCTCAGTACATCTATATGCTTCGTGGGCTTGCTTGAAATTTCATCGACAACCTTTCTTGAGAACAATCAGTCGTCTCCCCTTATGTAAAATTTCCTGAGGTAAGTTTAGCGCCGGTTTTCCATGAAACTACATCCTAGGAAATTAAGAAAGAAAATTTTGAATGGTGACACCTCTGCTTTGTAAACAGCCGACCTTCCCTTAAGGCTTGCATCGCAACTGCAGTGCCTGCAATACGAATTAAAGGACACTCTTTGCGCAAAAGGACGGCTGCTATACGGAACTTTTATTTTTCTTTCTGCCAGAAATCATGTTGTGTTCGACCAAACCCGGATGTTGTCGCTTTGGACTTTGAACGTCATGTTTGGCATGAGTAGAAAATGATAACTTATCTCAAACTCGGTCCCTAATTAATTTTTTGATGTTACGAAAACACTCGATTAAACTGTTTTAAGAAAAAACAAATACTTTGATGGAAGAAACGACAGTTCATAACCGTGGTTGTCATTCAAACACAGCCTTTAATATGTTTAAAGTTATGATAATTTTCTAAGACCGCATAATTTTAAAAGCTAAGTTCGAGGCCTCACGTCCGCATGAACACGAAATTCTACGCCAAAAAAAAAAGTAAGCATTGAACATAGTATCTTCTAAATCAAAAAGTTACTACTTTCTGAACTTATTTTAACGACTAAGCTAATTTAAAACCAGGAGAGAAAAAAGAAGGCTGCTTTACAACGGAACATTCAGTACAAGTGTACAGAGTTACGACATTCTCCTAGGTAACTGTAGGTAGGAGAGTTTCTTTATAATTTCAAGTTATGAATAAGGATGGAAAGGAAGAGCACATATACAAATGTACTTCATAGGAACTTCGTTTTAGAGGGATTTTATGCGTCGCCAAGTACTTTTAATATGCGAACTTTGACGTACACGGAATTGGGCTTGTTTAAAGCCAATTGCAAACAAGCTTATGCTGAGTAGTACGACAAACCGAGAAAAGATGCAATAGTTATGTTCTATGTCTTTTATTAGTGCAGTTTGAAATAAGTGAAATTGAGTCATAAAGGCTTAACCGTCTGAATTTTCTTCTCTTGCAATGACTGATATCTGTTCGAAGACTTTAGATCTTCCTGTGAGGGACTTGTCATAATTTATCGACATTATAATTTTTTCTTTTGGGGAGGTGGGGGGTTAGAGATCACATGGTTTAGAGGGGGGAATGGAAGGGGATAAGTCGTCGTTAACAGAGTATAAAGCGGGGACTACTTAGAATTGACTGCCAATTAACTGCCGATAAGGGAAAGGGGGGTGGGGAGATTATGAGAATATTTACAAAGCCTTATAAGAGTGTCTCAATTGGTTAACCTTCAGCTGTTTGGCCTAAAAATTTACAAATTTTCACCCTTAGTCGGAAAAAATTAGCGGTTAGTTTTTTTTTCCTTTAATCACAAAGGAACAAAATTAACTATTAGCCATAAAATGGCCAAATGATGGCGTTGGCCGTAAAAGCCATCACCCCTTTGATACCCTGTTATAGGGGAGATCAGGTAGACACAATATTTACAGAAACAAAATGGCATGTTTAGACTTTGGAGGAAATTAAAAACTGATAAGATTTCAATAATTGACGTATTTCGTGATGATAGACCATGAATAAAGTTTGAGTTCATTAAATGATAAGGAAGAAAGTTTCCGGTACACACTTAAAAATCCATCTACAGGATTGCGTTGTCAATCACTGAAGTGTTATACAAGTCTCCCCGGCAATATCAACGTTCAGTTTATACCACACAAGTAAATAACGCATTTTGCCCGTGCTGATTGGAAATTTCGGAAGTGATTACCAAGTACTGTTCACTTCTGCGAGGCCGAAGAGAGAAAATCACGCGTCAACATTTTAACTTTCAAATTGATTTTTTGTACACTGATAAAAAGAAGCCTTTTTTTTTCGGTTTCTGTGTGGTATATACTACTGTGTGTGCATATAAATGCAACTCCACTTCGGTGAATAACCGTTAACTGCTGAAACAAGATAAACAATAAAATAATTTTATCGCTTTTCGCCGTTGACATGATCTCAGACTCAAGCCTTCGTTTGAGTGCGATGAAACGATTTTTTTTGGTGTGTCTTTTTTCAGGTACCTTAGTGAAATTAGCAATGGTGGGCGTCCTGTGGTTTCTTGTCATATTAGTTGATACAAGCAAGTCTCTAACATGTAGTGAACCTGTGAGATCTGTGACAGGAAAGTATCTTAGAGGTCATGTGACTTCAAATTCAAGTACCAGTAGCCTGGGTGACTGTATGCAGCAGTGCGTTAGTGTTCCGCACTGTAAAAGCATCAACTTCCGGTTTAAGGACTTACTCTGTGAACTGAACGACGCTTGTAGATATACGCACCCATGGGATTACATTTCCAGAGAGGAACACGCGTACAGTGACATCCATCCTGATAAGGTATAATTGGACAAAAGAATTATCTCCTTCAAATGTGATCTTCATGAATTTTATGCTAAGTCTTGAAAATGAAATATTCTGATAAGTAATCTTCATTAATCCGATTTGTTGCAAACAGGAACCATTTCGGAACCTGCGCTTGAATATGACGCCTTCATGGCTTCGAGCCCACGCTTCTTTCATTTATAGCAATAGCTCTCATTCCGCTGATCAGATAACATTCAACGCAGGCTCTTTAAAAAACGCGGCCCTTTTAAAAGTTGCTTTGGTGGCTGATGGCCTGTTAACAGAAGGAACTCCGCTGACCGTTGAAATTACTGTAGCAGTCAACGCAACTTATGGGCAGACAGCTGACAGTGACCTCAGGCTTGGTGTATCGGACGGAAGCAAATTCATCGGGTTTGAAATACCAGATAAAAGTAATTACAAAAGCCATGCTCCTTGTTATGGAATACAGGGGAAGTCTGGCAGCTCTCTGAGTAAAATAAGGGCTTTAGCTCAGAACGCTTCCAATTCACCGCCAAGCTTCTACCCAGGAATGTTTTTCCTCACAATAAAGCCGGATCGAAAACGAGGCTTTTGCCGCATTACGCCTGCGCATGACAGGAGCTTTAATAAAACAGTTGAATACAGTGAGCAGTTGTTGCTCAGTCAAGGACTTGCTTTTGAAGTGTATAAATCGGACGAAACGGAAAAAGCTGGTATCAAATATGTCGAGGTCAGATTAAGTAGAAACTGAAACAGCTATAAAAAAGCCAAAAAGAGTTTGAAAAAGAATCAAGCTCATAAACTGAACCCTGGACCACATTAGCAAAATAATTTCACTCACACTTGTTTTTTTGTTTCGACCTCAATGTTCGACAAAAATCGAAAACTATAAGCAGAGGCAGTCTATGTTAAATGGCTTATATACAACTTTTGCAGCATCGAATGCACCTAATTTAAGAAGTCACGAAGTGTCTTTCATTGCCAGTGATATAATTGTCGTTTTAAGTTTTTAAGAATGGATACATTGTTTATTGTTTTCACCATCTGAGAAAGATCAAATCCATTTATGGCCCAACAGCTATTAGAGGCTTGAACACTATAAAAAGAACTTGAAAAAGACCACTTGCTACCACAAACTGCTATTGCCTAACAATTAAACTCCCAAGATCTAATTGGTAATTCTCCCCTCTAGCTGCTACACATATCCTTGTAAATTAGTCACGAGAATTTGGTGTTAGATCAAGACAATAATGTAAGGATATTATGGGGAGAAATTTCATGTTCATCACTTCTGGGAGTTAAATGGTTAAATGAAGACCGCTTAGAGTGCACTCCAGCTAAGAACCTATGAGTAGCGCCTGGCCGAAACAATTTTGCATGTGCGAGCTATTGAAGGCTCCATATACCTATAATAAAATGCAAGCATAAGTCTCCTTTAGAAGCGCACGCCTAAGTCTTATCTAGAATAAAGCGAATTTTAATATGTATGAATAAATGAATAAATAATTCGTTTAGAACGGTGTAACCTTCTTCTAATCCAATCTTCACCTTGAATTATCAAGTCCAATTGTCTTGAATTTTCAATTTATTTTATGATGGCCGTTTGAAAGCAACCATTGAGTGCAATGAAGATCATAAAGCACAATCGAAATAACATTCAAATCCCTTTTCGAAGGAGGTCGTTCAAGCTGGTTAAAGAATGTAAACCAACAACTGTGATCGTTAATTTGCATTTCCATTTATAAATCGTTTACATAATATTGTTTTATTTACACCAACCGCTGGCTGTGGTTGAAAGCATTTTACGAATTAAAACGCCAATATCGTCGACAGCATTACGGAGATGAGACAATTTTAAATACCCACTTGGCCATAATGGAAGAGAATCCGCGCGAAAGTGAAAAAACATCCGAAGAAACGAAAGGAAAATCCAGCCTTCGTGAACGTTTCAAGATGTTTGGATGCACGCTTGAGTTATTTTATTACAAGGTTGTGTTCTTCGTCTCTTATGGCGCTTTCGGTTGTTTAATGACTTTCCTTCCCTTGTACTTCAAGCAACTAGGTTTGACTGCTGGTCAGACAGGAGTACTTATCGGAGTGCGCCCTCTTTGTCAGGCCGTAGGAGCACCCTTATGGGGAGTCCTTGCCGACAAATACAAACGACGGAAAGCCATTCTTCTTATCGGGGCTACGGCTTGGTTGGTCAAGAATATGTTAATTTTGGCTGTTCCTTCGAGTCACCAAGATTGTGTTGCACTCGCTGAAGGCAAATCCCATTTCGCACAGACAGACATTAAGCTGGATTCTCGAGTGATTTCCATCGACTTAAATTCCACTTTGCCCACCGATTTAACGCAGACAGGTACGCCAACTCCAGCTCTTGATTACTTAATACAAGTAGACGAAGCAAAGCTCTGGAAATTGTTTTACATACTTCTCGGTATCGTGGTCGTCGGGGAGATGTTTGGCTCTATCCTCCACCCTCTTTTGGATGGTTGTGCTGTGGACTACCTCGGCGACGAGAGAAAGTCCTACGGCCGCCTGCGTACATGGGGTTCCGTAGGAATGGTGGTAACTAATTTGCTCATTGGCCTCGTAATAAATCACTACACTTACGAGTACTGTGGCGAAATACACAAACGTTACTCCATCGCCTTTTACTTTTTCGCCGCGTTCATGGTTATTACGATGATCTTTTTAGTCTTGGTTAAAATCGTCTACTCCGATGGACCGAAGGAGGTATCGTTATCGGCCATCAAGGACCTATTTGATTCTCGTGTAAAATGTTCATTTTGGCTCGCTGCAATTGCCCTCGGAATAAGCGATGGATTTCAGGGGGATTTCAATTCATGGTTCCTTGACGATCTCAAAGCCACTTCCTTCGAGGTTGGTTTAGCTGCATCCTTACACTTCGTCTTCAGTGCCCTGTGCTTCTTCTTCGCCAACTACATGCTGGAACGTTTTGGTTATTTCATGACAATTGCTGGAGGAGTTGCTCTGTACGCAATCTTGTTCATCTGCTTTTCCTTCGCTCAAAGCCCATGGGTTGCAATTGTGTACTACGTTATCATCGGGGGAGTGTTTGCTGTGTTCTGGACATCCTGTGTGACCTATGTTGGATCCATCGCCTCCCCTCTCGCTATCGGAGCCGCTGCTCAAGGTAAACAAAATCTCAGACAAAGAAATTCCAATTAAGAGTCCCACGCTCCTCAGGATCGCAGTTTATGTTCTCTTTTTGATCTTCGATAGGTCCATAACTCTGGAGACATAAAAGCTAAAACGAATCGTTTCTTGTCACTCGCGTTTTCGCGCGCTTGAAGGTGCTTGCGTATGTTGATCCTTAATAACTGTTGATTAATTCTGATTTGATTTTCATTTCGATCGCTTTTTGTAATTTTTGAAAGGAGTTGTTTGTTATTTTCCCTGTCCCAAAAGTTTTCTTCCGGTTTTTCTCCCTTCTGATATTCGACGCTCAAAATTCTCTCTCACCTCAACTTCTGTAATGAAAAATTGTAAGCGAAAAGCAATAATGCCCTTGCACAAATGCAACTGCTATAGTTCAAGTCAATCTATTAAATTCAATGAGAGTTTTGAGTTTTCAATAGTGTTCATCGGCCTGGAAGAGCGGCTTTTTTTCCTGCATCAGCCTTTCTTGAAAATAGAGGGGGCAATTTTATAAAGAAACTGAGGTGCTGCGTCGGTGAGAGTATAGCGGGGTAATTTAGTGTTAACAACTGAGTTGAAAACGTAAATTGGCCACCGTAAAAAGTTAAAAGGCTGGCGTTTCGAGCGTTAGCCTTCGTCAGAGCGATTGGCGAGGGGCTAACGCTCAAAACGTCAGCCTTTTAACTCTTTACGGTGGCCAATTTACGTTTTCGACTCAGTTGTTAACACTAAATTACTTTCTTGAAAATACTTTTGCGAGATATCACTTTCTTCCCACAGGAATCCTAAACGGACTCTTTGTTGGTGTTGGAATCGGCGGGGGAACCATCTTGGGCGGATTGTTGGTGGGCTGGATTGGAATGCGTGCAGCATACAGATTTTTTGCGTTTTTCCTTGCTCTGATTTTAATGCTGTTTCTTGGCTTGCAATGGTCAGGAAGACAAGAAAATAGCGGAGAATCAACGTCATCCTACCAACCTGTGCCGAATCAGCCAGATGATCAAGAGGAATAAAGGAGTTTTATTCGCGTCTTCCTGGTTTCCTATGATCGAAGCGACCATACGAGAAGAGAAATTTCATTGTCAGAATCAGAACTCTGAACGTGTGGTTTAGAATTCAAATTGGTTCAATTTTAAGCCGTTTTCTCAAAATTATAATCGAGGTTGTCATGGGTGTCGCTCCTTGTTGTTCAAGGAATATACAAAAAACTTTATTTACATCTCATGATTTTTAAAGTTGGATAGATAAAAACTAAACTTTATTCGACAAAGTTTATAAGAATAACTATAAAATATGTTTTAATAAATCCAGCTCTAAGAGTACATCTGCAAATATACAGCCTACCTATAAAGTCAAACGGAAGCAATTGAGCTGTTTAGATTTAAACTAGCAAAATATTATCATCCGTTGGTCGTTTTGAGTTAGCAATATGTCGTTGTAAATAAATTATTAAAATCCAAAGGACTCCCATTCGATGTATTACAAAGCCTGTCATTAACCTTCCGTTGCTTCCCTGAATATTCTGATTGCTATCAAATGATCAATACCACGCAGACATCCGGCGTTCGAAAACTATCTCAGTTCCCCATTGCTGACGGCACGTTCGTAAAAATAATATGTAATGATGAAAGGGAAAGGCATTTTGACTTGGTATTGACTGGGGAAATCAGAGAAGAAAAATTTGCTTCTAGCCAGGATACGTTTAAACAAAACTTGCAGTGTTATCTTCCAAAACTATACGAAAAACCCAAAGCACATGCATCGATTCAGATCAGTCCAGCATTAAGGCTCCAAGTCAAGGATGTACCTGAAGAAGTGAAAGGAAGAATTTCTGGCTACAAATTCAAAGCAAGGAGATTAAAAAGAATTCCACATGCACTTTAACCAAAAACACTTCCATTTACGTATCAAAAAATACGCCACCTGAGGCTAATATACATAAGAAAACAATATGATTAATTAAAAATGCAACCTGCTGGGAAAACATTTGAGGGAAATTGATGTTTACGTTAAGCGGAATTTGACTTTCAAAAATCACACTTTTTTGAACGTTGGAGTTTCCATTTGAAAGTTTTAAAATTGATAGTTTGTATAGAAAATGGAAATTTGTTTCAAAAGCGGGTCGTGAAATGTCGTTTTCTCGATTTTCTTGGAGAAGGAACTCGGAGACAGTATTTTTTGTCGTATTTATTTGCTTAAACGACAAGCCACTCGTGCCCTATGCATCCTTCACACTAGAATGTTCAAGCCTCATCGCATAGATCCACGGATACACTGCGGAGCTTAAAAAAAACAAAGAGAAACATCAAATCCACGCACGGTTATAAAGTCTGCGACGGCAGCGGTCGTTTGTACCAATCTCCAGAATACTGACATGCAGCACTCACCGGCGTAGACAGAAAAACAGCCACTAGCACAACTATCGCCGTAGTAGGGATTGAAGTTTTTGTTAGCTTCCGAGCACTCTTTGTCTCGGGAGAAAACCGAGACGCTGTTCTCTTCGGCAGTGACTCTCCTCGACTCGTTATGCGCAGTTTTCATAGTTTTCCATAGCGGTAGAAAACGATCACTTTCGGGAAAAGTCCTGAAAGCGTCCCAAAGGAAACTCACAGTTTTGGCAGGTCTTCATTGTCTAGGGAAAAGGAAGTTGCGTTCAGTGTAAAGCCGAAAAACCACACGCTTGTGATTGCGATGCAAGTGCGCTTTACAGTACCGCAAGGAATGGATAATACCGATATAGCCATATATACATTACATACCAGCCTGGCGGAAGCATTCAGAACTCTCTGAATTTTCGCAATCTGGATGTTTGGCAGTCCATGCAATAGGCTATTGTAAAAGTCGATGTGGGACGTTACGAAAGCATAGACTAACGTCTCCGTTACTTAGTCGTACACAGCCATTCAGTTATCAAGACTTTAATATTAGGGTGTATTTTTAAAACGCGACACCCCTAACAGTAATCCAATTTGATAAAATAAAGACTGGAAAGAAGATACTTTTAGCACATCTATTAAAGTTGGAACAATTGTTGGCATATTTCCAATGGAAAGACTGGGAGGTATTATGAGATTTATTCATTAAAACTTGCTTGCATGATGTTGGCGTAGTGTTCATAGATTTTCAAAAGAATATAATAACCATTGAGCATTTCTTGGAAATTAAACGAAGAAAAGACATTATTCGTGATGATATCGACATCTCTTCACCGATTGATTTACACAACATATAGTATAGTGTCAAGGGGCTAATATGGATAATTTTGATAGGATAATTTTAGCTTACGCAACGATTAAATAAACCAGAGTTTTGTGTAAACGGGTCACGGTATCCCACGGTTTTCTGCACGGTCGTTTTCGTTCCAAGTGATTTATCCTCTACTAAGCACTATTGTAACTCTCTTTAGTAATAACCATCTCCTGAATTAAGTTTCACATCTGTAAAAGACTTTACTTGTCACAGTGTTCTTAAAAAGCAAAGTCGATTGCCCTGAATTGTTCCAGACAGGAGATGTTCAGACCTAAACCTCCACAATCGTAAAAAACTGAACCATGCATTCAGGAGGCAGCTAAAGAAAGATGCTGAGGATTCATTGTGCTTTTCTGTTCTTTATCTCTTGTTCGAATTTCTTCATCAGTGACCGTAACAACGTCAACCTTCATACCGTGACATTTACATATCATGCAGTACACCCCACTCTGGACTACAATTCTCCTCAAGGCCTGTTTAAACTCCCTCGATCTTAAAAAGTAGATCCACGGATTCAACGCGGAACTGGCGAAAGCGAGAGTATCAACCCAGAACCATGTACTGGAGTCAATTCGGTGTTTTAAACATTCGTCTGATGTTAAAGCTTGAACAAAAGACAAAATACAAGATGGAAACCACAGCACGAAGCATGCTCCGATGACTAGAGCCGCTGTCCAAGTGGCCTTCCGGTTTTTACGAATTTTAACCGCCTCTCGTCTGTCCACGATGTGTTCACAAGCAATTCTTCGCGCTTGCGCTGAAGCAGTTTTGTAGATATGGAAATAACAAAATGAGATTCCTGACAACGGTACGATAAACACCACGATATAAGAAACAAGCCACAACCTGGGAAGAGCATGAAATTCTGTAATAAATAGTCGTGGCAAAGGTACAATAAAAGAACAAACCCACACCAAACCTATAAAGCGTAAACATCTTTCGGTTGTCACGTAGCTTTCATATCGGAATACGGCAACTATGGCCAGATATCGATCGATGCTCACACAACATAAGTTGTATGTTGTAGCTGTCAGTGTTTGTAAGGTTATGACCGCTGCTGCAATGGTTAGAGGGTGCGAGTTGACGTCGACAGCCATCCCCGCTTTAACAGCATAAAGCGGGTTCATAACCAAACCGACGAAAAAATCAGCAACGGCTAGCGATGCAATAAAAAAGTTGGAATTTGTTCGTAGGCCAGGAGTCTTGAAAATTGCCAAGAGTATCATCGAGTTGCCAAAAATTGTCACTGCGCTCAAAATTGAATTTATAACGCACACTGGCAATAAATTGGATGAGTATTCAGTGTTTTCACCACACATTTCAGATACTTGAACCATTGAAATTTTCTTTATCGATAAATCCTGATCACTCCTGGATCCTTCGTCTTGTTT